CGTGTTTGTGTTACTCTAATGGGTATTCCTTGGAAGCTCCATGAACGCACTGCATAGCATGTCTGTGATGCCAATCTTCCACCAGTCATTAACCAGCATCTTTGATTGCTTTAATAGTCTCTCCTCTCTGTCTTTCTCCAATTCCACAGTGATTGGACAAACACTGGTGTCCCTTGTGATATAAAAGGAATACATTGAAGAGGTATTGTGGTTTTCAGCAGCCTGGCTGTGTATTGTTTACTGGGTCTGCATGATTGCCTTCTGTCCAAATCAGAGGGTACAGACATTCAGGGCAAGGGTCTGCAGGGATAGACTGTGTTGTGGACTGTCCCATCGCGCCGAGAATATTCACTCAACCCATGACTCTGAGGTGGACCCCTTTCCATAGTCCAGTAAACACACACAAACATACACATAGTGGGAGTCAACTGTTTGTGCACTAGGGATCATATGGCTGTGCATAAAAGTTGAGATGCGTATTACAGTTTGTGTGTAGTTGGAGGGCATGTCTATCCTCATGTCACAAATAATTACCCCCTGTGTGATTTTACTTTTCGCTGTGGGCAAAAAAAAACACACTGTCTTTGGCACATACAGTTTTTAACTAATAGAACGCATATGGCTCTGTAAATTAAATAAGGGATAGATACAAACTAAGTTACAACAAATATAGACTTTTCCTACGGTTTTCTCGGCACCTCTTAATCATTTTAAAAATATTTTAATAGTTTTCTAAGTTATAATAAAGCTAAATATTCCCTTTTTTTCTCGTGCAGTTGCACATCTTGGAACAGATAGAGGAAATATTCAAAGTTTGAGTGTGCTAAATGTTAAAGGTCAACACATACCTCTAAACTTAGAATACTTCAAGCTAAGAGCTCTTTTTTTCCCTTAATCTCTCATTAAGTTATTTTCAGATGTGTGAGTGTGTTCTTTCAGGCTTTGAGAAATTAATGTTTCATGGCCATGTTTTAAATGCTGATCCTCAAGGCTGCTTTGGCTAACCTTGCTAACCAGCAAGGTAACATTAGCATATTCAATCACAGCAAAATGAGCAAATCTAAACATTTGAATGTTTTGTGAAGGAGAAAAAAATCCTAACACTCCAGATTGTGACTGTTTGGTCCCACACAGCGTAATTAATTGGTGTATGTTTAACACACACACGTTTAGGAGGAGCTTAAAGAAAATACAAACTCTAATTGTTGTGCAGTTAGCACCACTCATAATTTAATTACTTTTTGCCTATCAGGACCAGGATGTGGACAGAATACAGGAACATTTATGGTAAATTTACAGCTACAGATGTTTATCGTTGTTGACAATGGAAATTACTAGCAGTGGTCGAGCCTTTCACTTGTCTGAATTATGATGTTAATTATGTAATATTAGTCAACAAACAGCACTGGCACAAAACTTGGTGAAAACAAGTTTAAGTTTTTGATTTATTTATTTATTTTTTTACTTTGTATGTTACAAAAATAATCAAAAAATCCTACACATGGAAGAATACCACAGAGAGCCATCATGTTTGTTTGTAGGCAGCTGTTTTTGAATCCTGCAAATCAAAGAAATTGGGCCTCCGTCTTGTTACTTTGACACAGAACATTAGGATCCGGATCTGCATTCTGTGAGCGTACAGAGGCATAACGTGGGTTGCATTGGATCAGCTGCGGACACATTTCAGGTTATGCGAAAGAGGGTACAGATTTCGATCCAAACGTTCCACTGTTTTTATCTGTACAGCGATGCATGGCATAAGGAAACGATTGCACCAATGAAAGGTTTTGTGTAGTTAAAGTAAACGTTATGGTGGGTATGTTAGGATTAGATAGAGCTATGATAGTTTGACTATCACATTTTAGCTTTGGTCTACAAAAGCTACATAAGAGATTATATAATTATTTTATTTTCCCTTAAAAAAATATATTGATCATGTAGATCAGCCTTTCGGTCTGATTCCCTCTCTGGGAAAAAGGGAAATTCTGCTTCAAGTGATTACACCCTTTGTGTGATTTTTTTTTTTTTTTAACATCAGTGGAGGGGTGAGCTCAAATTTCAGTCAAACTGTAAAAGCATGTGTTATGTGTGACACTTCCCCTAATATTTCCATAGTGTCCCACATTTGTAACAGCTGAGTGAAAATATATTGGATTATCACAGGATCATGTTGGGAGAATTGAATCTGTATGTTTGTTTTGTGCTTGTGAAAGTTCTGATGATGTCTCTGAGGGTTGTGGTGGCTTGATGTTCTTTAGACTCATCTCCTTGCCTCCTTCCCCCTGGAGAGCTGTCTTTGTAGCAATCCAGCATCCTGTTCCCTGCTTCACTGCATCCATATCGCACTAATGATCATAGGAGTGGACAGCTGCTTAATGCAGTAGTGTCATCAGTGTTGCTGTCTGATAGCGGCTCCATTGCACTTGACGCGACTTAAATGTATCTGCCCCTCTCAAGCCCCCACCCCCCTAGATCAACTAATGTGGTTTGGGCCACCCCTGTAAAGGTGTTTAGATGTGTGCCACATTTGTAGTGAGTGATTACAGACAAGGATCCCATAATGTTATGACTCAGGACACTCACATTTAAAGTGAAAAATGTTCTACTATCATACAAAAAATAGATAGATAGTGTTGATCGGCAAATAAATAAATGAATTGATGATATTTTTTTTTACATCAAAATAAATTCTACTGGTAAGCAGTGTTACCTCACTGCACAAATATGTTTAATCATGGATTGGGCCTTTTTACGTAGATTTGTATGTTTTTCTCCATGCATGCATTGGTCTAGGTGGATACTGTAGCTTCTTTGAAACAAGTAAAACAAAAAAAGGCTAATTGGTGTTTCTAAATTGATCGTATTAAGTTTTTTTTTGTCTAGTTTGTCTCTATGTTGAGGGTGTACAATGCCTCTTACCCAGTGGTTGTTGGGATGATTACGGTCATCTTAAGTCATGACCCTAATGTCCTCAAAAGTCAAGTCTCCATCAAAGCTTATTCCCACAGCTTTTGTTCCTAAAAAGACAAAGCGCACAGACTACCTCTAAAATAGTTATTAGTTTGTCCATGTCTTTCTTGTACTTCTGACTTCAGTGTAAGTTGTTTTCTAATTATGATATCTCTGTGGCACGAAGCAAAGCGCTCCAGGGCAGCTGAAAAAGTCGTAGCTCCAAAAGGAGCTGTTTGAATCTCAATGCAAATGACAAGTTTCATAAAAACAAAAAGGGAAAGAAAAGACACATTTGGGGAAGGTTATGTTGGATCTTAACAAGTCGATGTTTGATCTCTCAGATCTGTTAGTGACTGTGTGCCAAAACGTTTTTTTTCCTTAAATATGATGCCAGTTGGATCATAGTTTCAGGAGTTTTTGATTCCACTCTCATTATCCAACCATACATTTTATATACCTCCTTTTTCTGAGGAAGGGTTTGTGAGGGGGCTGGAGCCCATCCCAGCTGAAATTTGGTGATAGGTGGAGTGCACCCTGGACAGGTTGCCCGTCCATCACAGGGCCACACAGAGACAAAGAAGCATGTATGCACATACATCACTCACTCCTACAGTCAATTTGAGTTAACCTAACAAGCGTGTTTTTGGCTGGTGTAAGGAGGCTTGAGGAGTACCTGGAGAGGACCCATGCACACAGTGGGTGAATATACAATCTTCATGCCCCAAAATTTGAACCAGGAACCCTCCTGCTGTCAGACAATTGCGCTAACTGACACAAAACGCCCTTATTATTATTATTATTATTATTATTATTATTATTATTATTAT